CTCAAGGCGGGCAAGAAGGCGCGGTGGCATCGCAGCCTCAGAGCCGCCCAACCTCTGCCGGCACTCCCGAGGCCTGTCCGCGCGGCTGACCCGAACAGCAAGCGGCAGAAGGCCATCGCCCAGGCGAAGCAGCGCCGCCGCCAGGAGCTCGACGACTACCTGCAGGAGGCGTACGCCGACCTCTACGACCACGATGAAGCCCCTCCAGCACCAGCTGCAGGACCTGCGTTCAACATCCCCTTGGCGTGCTGGCAGGCCGCCAAGGACAAGCCGTACGAAGGCGCCCCCGCACATCGGCCTCATTTCCTGCTCGATCGGGATCCCGAAGTACGTGACGATGTTGGCCTACGCTACGGGCGATGGGTCCAAGCAGTGGAGGAGGCAACGATAGCACACCACGAGCTTCCAGCAGGTGATGCCAAGAAGTGTCGTGGCAGGGCACAAGGATACGATATTGAATGGAAAATCACGCGAGCCACCCCGTCCAGGCCCCACTTGAGAGATCCGCTACTCGAATGGTGGAACCTGTGCACGTCACTACTCTCGAGATTGGGCATCTTCCGACGGACGGCTCGAGCTCACGACAACGCCTACACGATGACCAAGCTCCTCGAGTTGCTGGACGTTGGCCTGGACAGCGACTTCCAGAAGCCCTTCGGCGACGACGACCAGTTCTGGACCTGGGTTGCGGCGATCCAGCAGATTGGCACTGCCGACGATGAGGATTTCGACACCATACTCCAGCAGGCGGAGTCCTACAAGAGCAGAGCCATCGGCCTCTCGTTGTCCAAGGCTCGCAAGGGATTCCAGGCCTGGGCCACCAAGATGTGGAAGGAGTCGCCAGGAATTCTACACCGCCACGTGAAAGGGGTACCTGACAAGCCCGACGAGATCATTGCTGACTCCAAGGTCTTCGCCGCCCCTGATGAGATGATGGACAAGCGTGCAGATGATTGGAACGAGATATGGAGCGACGACACGATGGTCCCTGCCAAGATCATCGACGGCCTCCAGTACGTCATGGACAGGGCCGACACCCAGGACCTCGAGCAGCTCACCGCCGAGCGCATGAACAGCGCGCTGGGCTCCATGAGTGGCAAGAAGGCCAAGGGTGTCGACGCCATGGGCCCCATCGAGGTGCAGCGGCTGCCTGCTGAGGCCCGCCAGGAGCTGCTCGAGCTGGTGAAGCACATCGAGCGCGTCGCCATGTGGCCGCACCAGCTCTTCATGGTGATCGCCGCCGTCGCCCCCAAGCCGAAGGGGGGCGACGGGATCCTGGGCCTGCTCCCGTTCCTGCCCAAGTTGTGGAGCAAGATGAGAAGTGCTGACTCCCTGGACTGGACGGTGGCCATGGACGAGCATTGGGACACAGCGATCCGTGGCTCGTCTGCCCTGCAGGCTGCCTTGGTCCGATCTCTCCTCGATGAGACCTGCCAGGAGATGAAGATTTCATGTGCTACCTTGCTCCTGGACTTGGAAAAATTTTATGATAGTATTTCGATTGCCAAGATGTGTGCAGCAGGTGTTCGCCAAGGTCTTCCTGCTCTCATCCTCGCGCTGGAGTTGCAGCTGTTCCTTGCCCCGCGGCACCTCAAGGACAGGCTCTGGCTGAGCAAGGCGATTCAACCTGAGAAGAGTCTAGTGGCAGGCTCGCTGCAGAGTGGACGCTTCGCGAAGGCGTTCATGGGCCCCATGCTGGACAGGGCCCACATCAACTACGGGCTCAGGATCCTACTCCGCACCTTCGTTGACGACACGGTGGTTCGGGCAGAGGGGACAGCGCACGAGGTCGGCTCGCTGATGATCGACTCCTGCACGTCCTTGGCCAGCGACTTCGTGGACGCAGGGCTCAAGATAAGCCCGAAGACGGTGGTCGTTGCTTCGTCCTCGAGCTTGGCAGCCCGAATCACTGCCGGCCTGATCGATGTTGACATCCCTGTGACACCTGTCCGCCACGCTGTGGACCTCGGTGCTGACACGACCTCGGGCCGATCACGGACCAAGAAGCGCACCTCCGCCATCATGAGGATGAGGCGCCACGCCAGCCTCCGCGGCATCACCAAGGGCCTCTGGAGCATGGGGTCCAAGCCGCAGGGCACCTACACGCACCAGACGTTCGGGATCCCCGGCTACGAGCTGGTGCAGATCCGCCGCCAGGCCGCCCAGAGTGCCGTCGGCACGGGGCCTGGCCGATGTTTGACCACGTCGCTTGCCGCCGCCTTTGACCGACGAGACCCAGCGAAGGCACTTCGACGTGAGCAGGTCCTGGCATGGCTGCGATTGTGGCGAGAGTACCCAGAATATCACACACGTATTGCGAGATCGTGGGATAGCATCCGTAGCCGCCTACGATTAGCGGGTTCGCGAAGATGGAGAGTTTCGAAGGGCCCCATTGCAGCTACGATTTCAACCTTGCTCGACATTGGTTGGGACCCCGTTAGCCCGATGGTGTGGTCTTCGGATGAGCAGTTCGAGTGGCACATCCCGTCTGTGGCGCCCCCAGAGTTCGACAACTTCCACGGAGACTTCACGGACATCCTTGATGACATTGAGGCCACGATTGACAGACAGTTGTGGCGTGCGGCGGCCCTCCACGAAGCTGCCTCGGACCTCTCGGAGGGCGCGGACATGTACCACGTCTCCAGGGAGCTCAGCCGCCTCAAGCCAGACCTCGAGGGCGACAACTGGGCGTTGGACGTGGTGGTCGTCACGGGCGCCCAGTGGACTCGTGAGCGCTTGCGCGCGGCAGGCTACCGTATTGATGGCCTCTGCCCCCGCTGTTCCAAAGCCCCCGAGGATTTGTACCACCGAGCGTGGGCCTGCGAGGCCAATGTTGGCCATGAAGATTTCGAGAAGAGCCAGGTTTTGGCCGAGAAAGCCCGGGTGAACCATGAGAGCTGCCCGAGTTTTTGGCTCCGCGGGGTCCCTGGCCGGGCCGAAACGGTCCCGACCTTCGCGGATAAGCCTCCCATCCGAATTTCGTTTGGCACCCTTGCAGCCGTTCCCAGAGACGCCGAAGGTTTTGTGACCTTGTTTGGGGACGGGTCGGGTGGGAGGTTCTCGGACGACCCTCGGCGTCGAAGGGTCGGCTCGGGTCTGATCGGTCTCGCCCCCGAAGGGGCTGTCTGGCGTGCCGTCTGTGGTCTGGGCTGCAGCATCGAGGGCCGAAGACAGACCGTGCCGCGCGCTGAGATAACCGCCTTCGCCGAAGCCCTTGAATCCAGCGATGGCGACGTCCGTTTCGTTACTGACCATCGCCCCCTCCTGGACTCCTGGACCAAAGGCTTCTTCTTTTTTTTTTTTTTTGTTTCTGATCGTTTTCTTGGGGTGGTCATAATGTCTGAGGCCTGCCGAGCATGAGTCGGGTTTTGAATAGCAGCGGGGAGCAGCGGGGGAGTGTTTGCGAATATTAGATCCTTTGGGCCAGGATTCCAGGCCGCCAAGCGTGATCGTGGGTCACTGGCCCCGAATAGAATAATTGTAGTTTTTCTTTTTTTTTTTTTTTTTTCGGGTCCCTCCCCACCAAGAGGAGATAGGAGGACTTCCCATCTATTACATCTATCTCTTCCTCTCTCGCGTACGCAGTTGTTTTTTTTTCTATCTTACAAAAAAAACCTCGGGACATTGAAATCAATTATATCTAAATAGAATTTTTTTTATTATATGAATTGAGCAGAAGACGCCTTGGCCAGCGAAGCTGCCGAGCTTAGCTGGACTGAATTCGTGATTTCGCCCCCCCCCCAGACCGATGTTCGGGACTCCGAGGCCGCCCTGGTCCGTCGGAGGGCGCGGAGAGCCCTGGCAGCGAGCATCCAAGCCGATCCCTGGACCTGCGAGCGCCCTGGAATCGAGGGGGGGGGCCCGTTACCTAAGCTTGCCTGTGCCCTGCGTGACTCAGAGCATTCGTGGTCCCGTGCAGGGACGAAGTATATATGTAGGCGTTGCAATTTGTTCTCGAATCAGGATTCGATTTTCCAAATGTGTGCCTCCCGTTGCAGGCCCGGGCAGACGCCCGACTTCTCCCCCGTTCGTGCTGCGCTTTTGCGCTTTTCCTTTCTGTTTTCTTCTCTTTTGTTCGGTGGTTTCTGTCGGGGTTAGGGTAGAGGGTAGATGAGTAGGTAGTTTGATTTTTCGTTTAGAGAGCTTCCAGGGGCGCACCACTCTGCAGAAGAAGATGCGCATATAAATTGGTTTTCTGCACGACTTGCGGCAAGTCGTGCACCACCGACCCGAGATGGTTGGTCTTGCGATGTAATCCAACGGCCAAGGGCCGTCAGAATCTGGCGGCCATCAGGTCGGGGCGGTATCCGCACCCGTCGGGACCGCCAAGAGCGGTGAGAGAGGCGGAGTCACAAGGACTTGTTGGCCTCGGTGCAAGGGGGGGTGGAACGGCCCAGACGACGTCGACGAGTGGTCGCGTTCCACCCCCCGAGGGAGTGGCTCATGTTGCCACTTCCGAGGGTTAAAACTGAGGCCTCAGTTTTAACCCTCATGCGGTCCATGGCGCCGTTTGTGGACGTACGCTGTCCTTTCATCTGATCGCTCCTGATCGCTCCTCCTCCCTCCTCCTCCTCCCTCCTCCTCCTCCTCCCTCCCTCTCCCTCCCTCCACCACCTCCTACTCCTCATCCTTCCCTCCTCCCTCCTCCCTACTTCCTACCTCCTCCTCCTCCTCTCCTCCTCCCTTCCTCATCCTCTCCTCCGCCTCCTCCATCCTTCCTCGCCTCCTCCTCCTCTCCTCCTCCTCCGCCCTCCTCCTCCTCCTCTCCCTCTCATCCTTGCTCCCTCCTCCTCCTCCTCCTCCTCCTCCTCCTCCTCCTCCTCCTCCTCTCCGTAGCCATTTTGGCTCAAGATGCCCGCATTCGGGGGCTCCGCGCCGCCGTGCCAAAATCTGAGCTGCCAGAACAGCACCCTTGAGTACTCGGAGATTTCGGGAGAATCGCACCGCCCAGCTGCCAGCGCAGTTGGGGTTAGAGCTCCCAAGCGTTCAGTCACGCAGTCATGGCGCCGCGCCCATTCTCCTGGTGTACTTGCGGCAACTGGACCTACAACTTCCGCCTGCTGCACAACGGCGGGATGTGCGGCAAGTGTGGGGCGCAGGTCACACTATTCCAGCCCGACGCTGCAGCGGCGAAAGGCAAAGGTAAAGGAAAGAAAGGCATCCTGGGCAACAAGGGCGGCAAGGGCGAGGCTAAGTCGGCTTGGAACAACACTGGAGGAGGCAAAGGAGGCCCTTACCCGTGGTCCAAGGAGCCTGACGTCTCGCAGATGCTCGCCATCCTCTCGAACGTCCCCGCCCTCGCGGCGCACGCCGACGTGTTCCGCCAGGCTGACATTTCCTTCAAGGCGAGCAAGGCGAAACCGGTGTCGCCCAACCAGGAGGTGTACCGCTGCAGCCAGACGTTGGAGAAGAAGGAGATGGCGCTCCAGAAGGCCTCGGCAGGACGTCGTCAAGCTGGAGTCGGCTCTCCAGGAGGCGAAGCTGTGGCTGCACCAGACGGCGGAGGAGGCCCTCTCCGCAAAACGGGCCCACACCATGGCTGTCAAGGCCCTCGCGGACTCCACGGGCGCCGCCAAGACGCAGGACGGCTACACCGCAGACGGCAAGAAGATATACCTGGCGTTGGACGAGTTCGACTTCGCAGCCAGCGACGAGTTCGACGACACCCAAAAGGCGCAGCTCCAGGCCATCCAGAAGCAGGTGGAGGAGCACTGCAAGCAGGTGGCGGACCTCCAGAAGACGATGCAGGAGGCGCTCAAGAGCGTCAAGGAGATCCGCGCAGCCCCAGCGAAGCGGCAGCGTGGCCAGGACGGCGCCGCCCCTGGCCCAGGCGCAGCCGAAGCCGAGGGCCCTGACGAAGACCAGGCACCTACTGCAGCGGAGGACGGCCCCAGCTTCGCCGTCTCAGAGAGCGACATCGCCGCCAAGATCGCGAGCGCCAGGGAAGCCACGCTGGCCAACATGGGCGACTTCCCTCCCCTGGGCACTGGCAATGGTGCTAGGGGCTCTCGCGATGGTGCGCCCAGACCTGCAGCAGCGGCAGCGGCCGCGCAGCGAGGGTGACCTACTCAACGGAGTCGGAGGAGGCGGCCACTCGCGACTAGGCGGCGCTACCGCTCAGCCGCCCCTCCCACAGTATGCGGCGAGTAGCGACACACGGGCTCCAGTTCCAGAGAACTACGACGCGACGTACTTCCTCTCGAACATCTCGGAGTGGGGCCCGCAGGCGGAGGGATTCATGAAGGCCCAAGCTGAGCAGTACGACGTGATAGGCTTCGCGGAGATGCACCTGCGAGGCGTGAAGATCCTGGACTTCACCGAGAAGATCAGCAAGGACGGCTGGAAAGCCGCCGTCACAGCCGCAGCACCGTCGGGCCGATCGACTGAGGGCACGACGGGCGGCGAGGCGATCATATCCAAGCGCTCACTGGCCACGACGTCGTTCGAGGGGTGGCGCAAGCACGAGATAGAGCGATCGGCAGTCGACCCTTTCCAAGGCTTCTGCCCCACGACGTGGCACACGAAGGCAGGCAACATAGTGGTCATCTCCGCGTACATGCAGCCGAAGCACGGCATGAAGGGCGCCAACGAGAAGATGATGATCAAGTTAGCCAGCTTCATCAACATGATATCCGACCCGTGGGTTGCCCTGGCCGACTGGAACAACCCACCAGAGGCATGGGCTGGAACCAAGTGGCTTCGCAAGATTGGCGGCCAGTTGATCCTCCCTGAGAACACGAAGACCACGTGCAACCTGGGGTGCGGCTCCCTCATCGACTACGGGGTCTGCAAGAGCGGGTTCGGCGGCTCCCTCAAGCTCGAAGCCGCGCCTGAGGTCCCCTGGAAGACCCACGTGGGCCTCCTGCTCTCTATACGTGCGGGGAAGCAGCACTGGTGGCACCGAGCTATGCGGATACCGAAGCAGCTCCCGTCGGCGGGACGACCAGTGAAGAAAGCGGACCCGAACAGCAAGCGCCAGAAGTCGATGGTCGAGCGGCGCCAGCGCGCAAAGGCCAGACTCCAAGAGGAGCTCCAGGAAGCCTACGAAGAGCTCCACAGCTGGCCGACCACGGCGGACACTGACAGCAACGACTCGGTGACTTTCGACATTCCGCTCGAAGTATGGCGGGCCGCAGCCGCCACGGTGGCAGGCCTGGGAGAGGACAATGAGGGTAACGAGGTGAAGGAAAAGTACGCCGATTCGAGCAATTCCCCCTCCTCCCACTTCCTGCTGACCCGCGACCCCGAGGCGCAGGAGCAGGTCGCCAGAGCGTTCGGCGACTGGGTGCAGACAGTAGAGAAGGCCACGCTCAAGCACCACGACATCCCCGAGACCGACTGGAAGCAGTACGAAGGCAGGGCCAGCGAGTACAAGATTACCTGGCGCAGGACCCGTGCTGCCCCAGCCCGCGCACATATGCGGGATCCGATGCTGGAATGGTGGCACTTGGCCACGGCGATCATAGCCAGATATCAGTTAATGAGGCGCAAGTTCTCGGAGCAGGACTATATGCGCATGGCAAACAGGATGAAGGAGCTGCTGGACGCTGCCACCGACAACAACTTCCTCGCCAAGTATACGGAGCCAGATGACAAGAGGGTCCTAGATGACTGGACCAAGGCCATTGCCGAATTGAACGGGCAGCACATCGACGCGCTCCAGGGCCTCCTGGAGATCGGCCTGAGGTTCCAAGCCCGTGCGGTGGGCATAGGACTCGCCAACGGCAGGCGGGCTTTCGCCAGTTGGGTCACTCGCATGTGGAAGCAGGCTCCAGGTGTGCTTCACCGACATGTGAAACCAGCTGCCTCTCGGCGAGACGAGCACTACGGGGACGCGGGCAGCACCTACGCCACGCCGTGCGAGATCATGGACCGCCGCGCCGACTATTGGGAGAACGTCTGGTCCGACTCCGGCGCCGACCCCAAGAGTATCCTCGACGGCCTGAAGTATGTCGCGGAGCAGGCCAAGAGGGAGGACGTTCACCCGCTCGAGCTGGAGCACCTCGACCACCTGCTAGCGAAGCAGAACCCGAAGAAGGCCAGAGGCATTGACAACCTCGGCCCGCTGGAGGTGCAACGACTTCCAGAGCCAGGACGCAGACAGATGCTGGAAGTCCTCAACCTCTGCGAGAAGCACCTCATGTGGCCTTACCAAATCTACACGGTCATAGGCGCGGTCGCCCCCAAGCCGAAGGGAGGCGACAGGATCCTGGGGTTGCTCCCGTACACGATGAAGGTGTGGTCCAAGCTCCGTTACCCGTTGAGCGAGAGGTGGAGCGACAGGCTTGGCGAGTTCTGGGACACGGCCATCAAGGGAAGTAGCCCGCTGCAAGCCTCACTGGCGAGGGCCTGCATGGACGAGTGCTGCTTCACCATGGGCATCAGCTGCGCGACCATCCTTCTAGATTTGGAGAAGTTCTACGACAGCATCTCCATCACAAAGCTCTGCCAGGCCGGCCTGAGGCAGGGCTTCCCTGCAGTCATCCTCGCGATGGAGCTCCAGATCTTCCTCGCCCCGCGATACTTGAAGGAGCGCCAGTGGATCAGCAGGCCGATCAAGATCGGAAAGCCGCTAGTGGCAGGATCCCCACACGGCGGCAAGTTGGCGAAGGTTCTCTTGGGCCCCATCCTCCAGCGCGCCCACGACAAGTACCAGTTCAGCATCATGATGAAGACGTTCGTGGACGACACGATCATCCGCAGCGAGGGCACGTCCAGCAACGCGGAGACCACTCTGGTCCAAGCTGGCACCTCCATCGGCCACGACATGCAGCTCGAGGGCCTCACGATCAGCCCCAAGACAGTCGTGGTCGCCAGCACGAGCAGCATCGCCAACAGAGTGGCACGAGCACTTCGGAGAAAAGGCATTCGGGCCACCTCGGCCCAGGCTGCCGCGGACTTGGGGGCCGACGTTGCCTCGGGACGGGCTCGCGCCAGGGCCACAGCACGCAGGCGAATGGTGAAGGCTAGCAGACGGTCCGCAGCCATTCACAGAATCAGGAGAATAGCCCGATTAAAGAGAGAATCGCAAGGTCTATGGAGAACGGGTGCCATGCCGTCTGGGACCTACTCACACCAGCACCACGGGCTTCCTGAATACGAAGTGCTACGCCTCCGACGTCAAGCTGCTGCAGCCGCCTCTGGCGTGGGACCAGGGAGATGCTTGACGACTGCCCTGGCCATCGAGTACGGCGACGACGACCCCGCTAAGAGTACCAGGCGACAGCAGATAGCAGCGTGGTTGACCATGTGGCGCCAGTGCCCAGGCATCCATGACAGGATTCGGCAATCCTGGGACAAGATCCTCGACCGCATACGGAAGGCGGGCCAACGCAAGTGGAGGATCGTCCGAGGCCCAGCGGGAGCAACCATAGCCACCCTCCTCGAGATTAACTGGGACCCGATCTCGGCGACTCAGTGGGGCACGGACGCTGGCAAGAGTTGGCTGATCCCAGCAAGAGAGGACGAGGGATCAAGAAGCTGAACGCGGACTACTCGGAGATCTTCAGCGATATCAACAACTCAGTGGACAGAATTCTCTGGACTCGGGCTTCGAGACATGAAGCAGGTAACGACCTCCACAGCGGAGGAGATTTCAGCATGATCAAGCAGGAGCACCGCCGTTTCGCCAACAAGGAGCAGCACAGCGAGATCGCGCTCAACACGGTGGTCACGACGGGCGGCCAGTGGACACGTACACGGATGGCTGCCGCAGGATACGAAGTTTCCGCAACTTGCCCGAGATGTGGAGATCAAGATGAATCTATTTTCCACAGAATATGGACGTGCGCAGCCAACTGCGACCACGACGACTTCACGGACAGCGACTTCCTCACCGCACAGGCGTTCGCGAACCACGAGGCCTCCCCGTCTTTCTGGCTCCGCGGCGTCCCCGCGGCAGCTGACACTATACCCGTCTTCGACGAGACCCCACCCATCACGGACAGCTTCGGGGACATCTCGAGGATCCCACGCGACGAGGAGGGATTCGCTGAGATTTTCGGAGACGGGTCGGGCGGTGAGCATAGCAGTGACTGGCGCCGCAGACGCGCGGGCTTTGGTTTTGTTTCTCTGGCCCCTGGTGCTCTGGACCCTATCGTTGGTGTTTCGTCTTCCCTGGAAGGGCGGGTCCAGACGGTCCCGAGGGCCGAGCTCTCTGCTTGTCTCGCCGCCCTGGAGCGAATCCCAGGGAAGATCCGATATATGACGGACCACCTGGCCCTGGCCCAGGCCTGGTCCAAAGGAGTCCCGCTCCTCCTTGCCTCCTCGTCCCCTCCCGCGAACGTCGACCTTTGGACCAGGATCCTGGAGGCTGCGGGAGATAGAGTCATTCGCGTAGTGTGGATCCCTGCCCACGTTGAGGCCAGGGACGTGAATACCGAGGAGGCCCTTCGCAATGCTGTAGGCAATGCGTGTGCTGACGCACTCGCGGGCCTAGGAGCCCAGGCGAGCCAACGGTGCCGTCTCACGAATCCCGACACCGACCGCCGCGATGCCGAGGCCGCCCTGGTCAGACGACGGGCTCGGAGAGCTCTGGTCGCGAGTATCCTTGCCGATCCCTGGACCGCGACTCGGCCCGAGGCCCCTGTGGCCCAGCGTCTCCCCATTCTGACCAGGAGTTTGCGAGCCAGCGAGCACCAGTGGCGGAAGGTTGGTGCGAAGTATTTCTGCACGGTCTGTTCCCAGTTCGAAACCAGGGAGTCAAATCGAGAAGGGTGCCAGTCAAGGTGCTGCCCCAAGCCCCAGGGCCAGGGCATCTCACCGCTTCGCGGCCCCCAGATTGTGTCGGGGAAGCTTTTGTGTTCGAGCCACAAGCTCTCCTTCTGGGGCCGCTTTGGATTAACGTTTTGCACGGTGTGTGGCAAAACTGCCACGTCCGACCCAAGGTGGTTGGTAGACAGATGCAGGGCCTCCCCCAAAGGTGCGCAAAACCTCGCGAGGATCGCCCGAGGTTTATATCCGCATGTGGGGGGGCCCCCGCAGCACGTTCGGGACGCCGAGATTTCCAAATTCGTCCAGTAACTCGTCTGGCTTTGATCCAGTTTTCTTGGGGGCTCTGCTGGTGGCGTAAATGGCAAAGTGATGCGACGCCCTTCGGGAGGCCAGTAAAAGATCACGAGCGCCATCCAGCAGGGCTCCCCGGAGACATAAGACGGAGGCGAACTGGCGTTGGTGTCGCAAAGGAAGGAAGAGATAAATGGAATGAGGAATAAGAATGAGCAAGAAGCTGAATAAAAAGAAGGAAGAACAGAATAAAGAAGAATAAAGAATTAAAACGAAACAGACAAAGCTAAGCAAGAAAGGAATTAGAAGACGACGAAGAAAAGAAATACAAAGAATAAGAAGACGCTTAGCAAGACAGAAGAAGAAAACAGAACGAATGAAAAGCATAAGGTAACCCGAACGAGACTGACCGACTCATCGAAAAAGTTTTAAGAGAACAAGAAGTAGAAATAACTAAGAAAGAAAAAAAAACAAAAATAAATCAACAAACACAGCATCGCGGAATAAGAACGCTAACTCAGAAAAGAAGAAGAAAAGAATAAAATAATAATGATGCATCCGCCGACGCAATAAGCCTAAGCAGCAATCAAGACTTAATTACTAATAATAATAAAATACGAAGAAACTCAAAATAGTTAAGTAATAAAAATAATAAGCAGAACGGAAGACACTCAGAATAATACAGACGAATCAATACTAATACTACATCATCCAGCCAAATCCTCCTAACTCCAAGAATCCTTGATCTCCTACCTACGATATAGTCACTCCACCTCCTAATAATGCAATCTAATACCTTCTCCGGACCCCCCTCCTCCTCCTCCCCCGATTCCTTCTCATCATCATCCGCCTCCGCCTCGTCATCCTACTAGTCGCCGTCAGCATCGTCATCGACAGCATCATCAGCAGCATCAGCATCATCAGCAGCATCAATATCGTCAGTATCAGCATCCTCATCAACAGCATCATACTCAGCATCATCATCATCAGAATCAGCCTCAGCATCAACAGTATCAGCATCAGCATCATCATCATCATCATCATCATCATCATCATCATCATCATCATCATCATCATCATCATCATCAGCATCGTCATCATCAGTATCATCATCAACAACAACAGCATCATCATCAGCAGCATCACCATCATCACCAGCATCATCATCGTCACCCGCATCATCCTCAGCCTCAGCATCAGCATCAGCGACCGCGTTATCATCGTAATCGTCGTCATCATCATCAGCAGCATCGTCATCGACATAGTCATCAGCGTCATCACCATCATCATCATCGTCATCATCATAATTAGCATCAGCAGCATCATCAGCGCCATGATCATTAGCATCATCATCAGCAGCAGCAGCATCAATTTCCTAGTCACCAGCAGCAGCAACATCATCATCCGCGCCATCAGATCAGCATCACCAGCAGCATCATCATCAGAATCGGCATCAGCATCATCAGCCTCATCATCCGCAGCATGACCAGCATCAT